GCTCTGTTTACCTATCAGTAAGTTGGAACCCAGTTGTTAGTTAATTGGTGGACCGCTTTCCGGGGTTAATAATTTCTTCAAAAAAAAATTGACAATTCAATCCACGCCTGTTTGTGAGACGCTACTGTGCGTAGTTGGATGCCATGTTTCGCCCACAAAATATACAGTCAATTCACTTTACAATATATTCTGTGAAGCGCTTTGAGACGTCTCAACGACATGATAAGGTGCTATATCAATGCAAGGATTATTGTAGTAATTTAGGAGCACATCGTTGAAAGAAGTAAATTACCTTGTTCTCATTTACATACATCTGACCAGTGATTCTCTCTTTCAATCCACCTGCTTGAATTGCTACGTAGCACAGAGAGCTACAGATCCACGCAAATAAAAGCCTGGCATCAATCCATCCGTGGTTCAATTAACTGCCAGGCTTCTCAATCCTGACATGCCTGTGAATTGTGAAGACAGCAGATTCCAAGGGTAGAGTCTAATGGAAAAGTGAGAGGAGCTGTCTCTTCTCTTCACATTTGCCTGGAATCAGCAATGTCTGAGGGAATCTCAGCTCAACATATTGTATTTAGCACCAGCAGAGAGTGGCATGTTTTTAAATAGAGCTGTCCAGAATTTATTAACACACACATTCAAACATGCACAGATCTTATTAATCCACATTTTAATTTGCAGCCTCAGCTACTTGTGAAAGTACTAATTACATAAATATGATTTGAAATGAGTAGGCTATTAGTAAGCCATGGGAGCTCCCTGTTACTGGAATCATTCAGTGCCTTCCATATTCTGTGTAAAACCATTTCATTTGATGTAGCGACTTATCACATCGTCGAGCCATCTCAAAGCACTTTGTACAACATATTGTAAAGTGGATTGACTGTGTATTTTATGGGTGAGACGCAGCAGCCAATTGCGCAAAGCAGTGTCCCACAAACAGTCGCGGATTGAATGACCAAATTATTATCTGAGGGTTTATTACCCCCAGAAAGTGATCCGCCAATCGAAGAACACCTGGGTTATTATTTTTCCAGACCTTTTCTGCAGAAGACGTTTGATGCAGCATCAACTGTAGTTCCTGTGCATTGAGTGACTAAATTATTATTATTTATTTAATTAATTTTTGAAGGGATTATTACCATCGATTCGATGGTAAGAGAAAAGCAATCCGCCAATCAACTACCAACGGGGTTGATACTGACTGCTAGACAAACTGAGACATGTGGAGTAAGGAAACGTGCTCAATGTTTCACCCCCACACTCAAACCAAAAACAATAATAAAATTGGTCATTTTCAATCTACGACTGTTTGTGGGACATTGCTGTGCGCAATTGGCTGCTGCGTTCGCCCACAAATATACAGTCAATTCACTTTACAGTGTGTTCTGTGAAACGCTTTGGGAAGTCCTCCTGACGTGAAAAGCGCTATATCAAATGCAAGGATTATTATTATTATTACTCACACCTCAGGCAGCACCTGGCTTTTGGCATAACCTATGACTCTGTCCATTACATCAATGGTTCAAGAACAACAACAAATTAGATTTACGCAGCCCCTTTCATGTCAGGAGGATGTCCCAAAGCGCTGGACAGTCAGGGGTTTGAACCTGAGCAGAGGGTTGGGCTCAGGATGGGTGAAGGGCAGGGACGGTGGGGGTAGGAGGGTGACCGAAGGTCTGGTCAAAGAGGAGGGCCTTGACATGTGCCTTGAAGGAGGGGAGGGAGGAGGCAAAGAGACTTTGGGATGAAGTTCCAAGGGGTGGGGGAACTCAGAAAGAGTTAACTTCCCAAAACATCAAAAATTAAAGGATTACTCTTAAATCCCAACATAGTCTCGTCCGTCCCACCCTACCTCAATTATAGTAAACCAGCTGCTCCCTTTGCTCTGCAAGCAGCAGCCCACTTCATACACCTCACTCTATCTGCCCCACCATTGTCAGGTGGGCTTTCAGATATTCTGTCCCTGCTCTCTGGAAACCCATCCCAGAGGCCCCCTGACTGACTCCTTCATTCACTTCTTTCAAGGTCCGTATCAAAACGTATCTCTTTGACCATGCTTTTGTGTCACCTTTCTCCTCTGCACCCCCCTTGGCTCCTACCCCACCCCACCAACATTAGATGGGTGCCCATTCAATACTGTGAAGCACTTTGAGTTGTCCTCTTGATATGAAAGGTGCTCTATAAATGTAAATTGTACTGTGTCAAAATCCTAAACGGTTCAGGGGAAAGCAAGGGAAGTGGGATTGGGCGAGGTTGTAGGGTGGAGAGCCAATGGAATCGTCTGTGGTGAAACGGACGGGTGGGACAAATGACCTCTTCCTATTGAAAACTCTCTATGAACATAACAACTCTGTTATTAATGCAATTGTCATGGTCCATATCTCAGACCCTGTGTTAAAATGAGTGTGAAAAAATGGCTGACATCCAAGATGTTGGGTCATTGCTGATGTCACTTCTTGCGTGCTGCACAAGAGAGCTATGTGCAAGATGTGCCAGAGTCACACTTCACTTACAGTACACAGGAAGTGACTCCAGCAGCGATTTGAAGTCGGACATTTTTTAGTGCAGGAAGCTGGCTTTTCACCATCAAGTGACTTCTGGTGCATTCAGGGAGGGTCCACATTACATCCTAACTTGACTGGGGCATATTCTAACTGGGCTTCCCTGTATTCCTGTGAAACTGAGATAATTTCTTTTTATTCATAAATAATGCTCAGTTGCGCTGCTTTGTGCAACTGGAATCCAAGTTGTTGGAAGGACAATGATACATGCAATAACAAAGGTAAAGTGCCTGAGAGGATTGGGTGTTGCAGGTATATACAATATGCTTTCACCTGAGGGATCCAGGCTCCAGTCCAGCTCAGACAGATGTGCTGAAAGTCTCCGTTCTCCGGATGTCACAGTGTATTGGTTTGTCATCCTTCACCTCGGGGACCTGGGCTCAACTCCAGCCCAGACAGATGGGAGGAAGATCTCCCGATTTCTTTCTGTCTCTTGCTCACTCTTTCTCTGGGAGGTTTGATGGATTACAACCTATTGTTTTACCACTAGGGCTTGGAATCCCTCCAGTTTAGGTAAATGCGGGAACAAAAGTCTCTATGGTGAAGGATTCAACAGAAATTGAACTCCAACTGGGAAATCCTAATTCCCATTATATGTGAATCCAATATGTGAAACTAAAGTACTCCCATCAACAAAATCTAATACGCCAAAATTATAAAGCAGATTATCAACTAATGAAAGTATCCATCTGCGCTTACAATTTTGAGCAACAAATTTAATTTCATTCCAAATCATCTACGTAGGCTGAAAGAAAGCATTGGCTTGTCTTCTCTATGTTCTGTGTGTTCAGGACATTAACCACATTATAAGGCCACAACATCTTGCCAAATAGTGCAATCTATTACACACCAGTAATCCTCCAAGAGATGAAGGGTTAATTCTGAACCTGTTCCCTATTGAGACAAGAAAGCCATTTCTTTTCACAATAGAAATAATAATCCTTGTCATGTCTTCTAAACGTCTCAAAGCGCTTCACAGAATATATTGTAAAGTGAGTTGACTGCATGTTTTGCAGGAGAAACTCAGCATTCAATTGCGCACAGCAGCGTCCCACAAACAGTGGCTCATTGAATGACCAAATATTTTTTTAAAAGGGTTATTACCCCCAGAAAAGCGATAGGAAAAAATTTAGAATCATTGATTAAGGATGTGGAAGTGCAGTATTTAGGGCACAATATAATTAGGCAAAGTCAACATGGCTTTACAAAAGGGAAGTCATGTTTGACAAATTTCATTGAGTTTTTTGAGGATATTTCCAGTAAATTAGATAAGGGTGAATCGGTGGATGTGGTCCATTTGAACTTCCAGAAGGCATTCGATACGGTGCCGCATAAAAGGTTAGTCCAAAAGATAAGGGCCCATGGAATTGGGGGGAGCATATTAACGTGGATTGGGGAATGGTTAACGGGTAGGAAACAAAGAGTAGGGATGAACGGGTCCTTTTCAGATTGGTGGGATGTGACTAGTGGAGTGCCACAAGGATCAGTCCTTGGGCCTCAGCTATTTACCATTGACATCAACGATCTGATGAGGACATCAAAGTTAATATATGTAAATTCGCGGATGACAGAAAATGTCATTGTCAGTGAAATATTTATTTTAAAATATATAACTATACACTAATATATTAGTGGAGTCCTGTAGCTCAGTGGTTAGAGCACTCGCTTTGCAAGTGAGAGACCTGAGTTCAATTCCAGGCAGAGGGCGAAACCTTGGGCAAATTTCCTTACTCCACACAGAGCCTAATAATAATCCCTCCAAAACCAAAAACAATAATAAATTGGTCATTTTCAATCTACGACTGTTTGTGGGACATTGCTCAGGTCTCTCACTTGCGAAGCGAGTGCTCTAACCACTGAGCTACAGGACTCCACAAAATTACTTTGTGAATCACAGTTAAATATTTATTCAAACGTTATTCAATCAAAGTTAATGGAACATTGTCTCACCCACTGGAGGGTTGAACAGTAAAGTTAGCTTTTAACTGTGAAGTGTAGTGACTGTTTGCGGGTGGGGCGGGGCGGGGCGGGTGAGTCAGACTTGACCGACAGGTGAACAGGTGAACTGACCTGAGCAGCTCCCCCGCCCCGCCCCCGCCCCAGCCCCACCCTGAGTGGGCGTGGCGAGCGAGCGATCGACAGCCAGGCCGATCAATCAGGAGCGCGGAGGGGTTGGGAACGGACCAATGGCGAGAGGCGAGGGGACGGGGGGGCGGGGCCGGGGCGGGGCCGGGGGCGGTACCTGACCGGTGATTGGCGGGACACCTGGACCACCGTTGGAGTGACCGCGGCCTTAGCCAATGAGAACGCGAGCGGTGTGGGAGGCGGCCAATGGCGGAGGCGGGGGGCGGGGCCGGGGCCGGGGGGCGGGGCCCGGGCCCGGGGGGGCGGGGGCGGGGCCCGGGGGGGCGGGGCCGGGCGGCTGCGCCTCTTTGTTCTGGCAGCGGCTGCGGCTCCGCGGCTCAGTGACCGATCGCGCGGCGCCGAGAGGACAGGACAGGAGCAGGTAAGCACAGTCACTACACACAGTCACTACACACAGTCACTACAGTCCCCCCCCCCCCCCGCGCGCGCGTTCAATTCAATCCGTTGCAACTTTCTGGGATTAATTGGACACAGACACTGAGAGCTGCAAAGTTCGCCTCTCGGAGTCTCTCCCGCGGCGGTGCGGAGGGGTCGGGGCTCTGTTGCTGCTCCTTGTTGTACCCTCGAGAGGGAGAGAGAGGAGGGGGTGGGGGGAGCCCCGGTCCCCGGGTCACACCGAGACCCGCAGAGGAAGCCCCCCCACCCCACCCCCACCCCCCCGACTCCTCCATCCCTAAGTTTTTTCTGTACGAGGATCCGGTGTCCCGTCTCTCTGCGCATTGTATTAGTTTTTACGCAAAATACGTTCATCCTTTGTGTTAAAACCCCAAAACAAATGTCTCTCTTTCCCTTCTCCCCCTCTCATCCACCCCCCACCCTCACCCCATCCACCCCCCACCCTCACCCCATCCACCCCCCACCCTCAGCCCATCCACCCCCACCCTCCACCCCATCCCACCCCCCCACCCTCACCCCATCCACCCCCCCACCCTCACCCCATCCACCCCCCACCCTCACCCCATCCACCCTCACCCCCACCCTCACCCCATCCACCCCCCACCCTCACCCCATCCACCCCCCCACCCTCACCCCATCCACCCTCACCCCATCCACCCTCACCCCATCCTCACCCTCACCCCATCCACCCTCACCCCATCCACCCTCACCCCATCCACCCTCACCCCATCCACCCTCACCCCATCCACCCCCACCCCATCCACCCTCACCCCATCCACCCTCACCCCATCCACCCTCACCCCATCCACCCTCACCCCATCCACCCCCCACCCTCACCCCATCCACCCTCACCCCATCCACCCCCACCCTCACCCCCACCCACTCCTTCCCGATCTGTTGTTAATAATTTTTTTAAGTGAATCTGAAGTTTTCCGAATTACTGTAGTTTTGTTTTTTGTTAAAACACACACATATATATATATATATATAAAGGTCCAGTGTACCTGTGGTTGTTTGACCCGCGTTTGTTGTTATGTTTCCTCATTTCTGAAGGGCATTAGCTGTGTGTGTATGTGTGCTTGGGGGGGGGGGGGGAGGTGGTGGGGGGCGACTTATCATTGTGTAGACCGTGAGCTGCTGTCTGGGTCCTGTCTGAGATTCCTGTGTTTGTTCTGTCCGGGTTTGTGGTGTATGTGGTTCTGTTGTCACCATCGCCCTCCTTCCCCCCCCCCCCCCCCCCCCAACACACACATAACCCACAGGGCTCTCTCTCTGTACAATAGCAGTGACTGATGGTGTGAAATAGGCAGTGTTTCGGGGGCATTGCTGATCAAATGATCTCATACTTCGTGGGAGTGAAGTTCAAGTGGATTACTTGTGTACTCTGAACCCAGACCATAAACTGCTGCCTCTTTCACTCTATAGTTTGCTATTTCATGAAATCTATTGTCAATAATTCCCGGGAGCTTTGCTGACGGTGGTGTGGCATCGCTCGGGCGGAATGTGTGACCCACCGGCCATTGTTATCTCACTGTCTGGTGATTCACGGGGAGGGTGCAATCCAGATACCGAGTCCGACTGGGAGTGGCTGCAGTGTTGTAGGGGTAGGGAAGGATCTCAGATGTTATAAACCTCAGAGTGAAACTTGGGTGGTTATTGAGTCGGTGGCTGACTTCGCGTCACGATTTGATTGTCTGTACCAGGTCTGTTTGGGATTCTTTCCTTAAGCGATGCTTGTGATGTTGACTTTCAGTCCCATCTCTGATGTACAACGTTTTATGCCGTGTAATGTTCTCAAATGCTTTGCACTTGGTTCTTAGTGGAAAATGTCAGTAAAATGTTACAGGTACACCCGAGCTGTATATGCAAGATGATATTTGCGGCTATGATGTGATCTGTCAGCGGTGCTGTATATCGCGTGCAATAACTCTCATCCACTGAACGTTAAATTGTGTCCCATGTTGAAAAAGTTGTGTTTGGATATTATTAGTGTGAGGCTGTTGCATTTCACTCCTTTGTGTGGATAAAGATTTGTGACAAGTGGTATAGGCTTCAGAGTCCCAAGTTAGTTGATGGTTGGTGTGGGGCAGAGAGAAAGTGTCACAGATGGCTTATGATAATCCTTGCATTTGATATAGCGCCTTATCACATCTTCAAGACATCTGAGTCCTGTAGCTCAGTGGTTAGAGCCCTCATCTGGCAAGCGAGCGACCTGAGTTCGATTCCCGGCAGGGCGAAACCTTGGGCAAGTTTCCTTACTCCACATGCCTGATAATAGTCCCTCAAGAAAAAAACAACTTGAATTTATATAGCATCCTCCACGCCGGACGGGATCTCAGAGCTTCACGGTAATGGATCCTGGGCCGAGCCAGGGGGGAGGGAGAGGAAGGTGACCAAAGACATGGTCGAAAAGAAAGTTCTTCAACCGAGATCTGAAAATAGGAAGAGAGGGGGCAAGGCGAAGGGAGTGAGGAAGGGAGTTCCAGAGCCTCGTGATGTAGTGGCTGAAAGCATGCCCCGAAGGTGGAGTGGATGATCCGGGGGACGAGGAGGTCAGAGAAGTCGGGGGGTGCAGAGGAGTGCAGTGACTTGAATACAAGGGTGAGGATCTTGAAGTCGATCCTCTCTGGGACAGGCAGCCAGTGCAGTCTGGCAAGGACTGGGGGGATCGGGGAGCGGAGTTTCGTGCGGGTGAGAATGCGGGCGGCAGAGTTCTGGATGACCTGGATTTTATGAATGGTAGTGGATGAGAGACTGGCGAGGAGGCGTTGGAGTAGTCCAGCCGAGAGGTGACAAAGGCATGGACCAGGGTTTCGGTGGCTTTTGGAGTGAAATATTGGCAGAGACGGGCAATGCGTCGGAGGTGATAGAAAGCGGTGCGGTGAGGGACCGGATGTGGGGGAGGAAGGATAATTGGGGGTCGAACCTGACGCCTAAGTTGCGTACGGGTTCGGAGAGTTTTAGGGGGAGGTCGGGTAGGTGGAGGAGGTGAGAACTGTGTGATTGAAGACGTTGACGAGAGCCAAAGATTATGGCTTCTGTCTTGTCAATGTTCAGCTGAAGGAAATTTGCGCTCATCCAGCCCCTGAGATTTGACAGGCAGCTGACAGAACATCAGGCACTGGGATGTCACAAAGTGAGGTGGAAAAATAGAGTTGGGTGTTGTCCACATACATGTGGAAGTGTACCCCATGTCTGCGGATGACATCCCCAAGAGGGAGCATATAGATTAGGAAGAGGAGAGGACAAAGGATTGATCCTTGGGGTATCCCGTAGGTAACCGGGTGAGAGCGGGAGGAAAAGCCGAACTGCTGGCGGTTCGTGAGGTAGGACTCGAGCCAGGCGAGTGCGGTCCCACTGAGGTGGATCACGGAGGAAAGTCGGTGGAGGAGGATGGTGTGACCGACTGTCGAAAATAATAAAAGTGGTCACTTCAATCCACGACTGTTTATGGGACACTGCTGTGCGCAATTGGCTGCCGTGTTTCGCCCACAAATATACAGTCAAGTCACTTTGCAGTATATTCTGTGAAGTGCTTTGAGTCGTCTCAAATACAAGGATTATTATTTATTATCTCAAAAACTGTATATTTTGTGGGCAAAACGCAGCAGCCAATTGCACATAGGAGTGTTGCACATTGCTGTGTCCCACAAACAGTCGTGGATTGAAGTGACCAATTTATTATTTTTTTAAGGAATTATTACCCCCGGAAAAGCAATCTGCCAATCGACTGAACAACCGGGTTCCTACTTACTGCTCGGTAAACAGAAATGTGTGGAATAAGGAGACTTGCCCGACGTTTTTCCCTGCCAGGAACCAAACCCAAGTCTCTTGCTTGCGAGGCAAGTGCTCTAACTACAGGACTCACTGGCTATTGTTATCTTAATGTCTGGCTTGTCTACATGGGAGAAGGGAAGGTGAAAATTAGCCACTGTACCTTTACCAGAAATGATGGGAAATGTGATCCTCGGAGTAGAGTATGACTGGGACTCTTGCGTGGTTGCACAGCCTGGAACACTCACTGTTTTGGCAATGACGTGTGAAGAATGATCACTTGGGTGAGGTATTGAAGAGCTGCTGATAATGCGAAACCAGACCCACATGAGTCACCACAGTTCGGGAGGGGAGGAAACTAAACATTTCAGCATTGGAGCTACCTAGTGAAGCGAAAGCTGGGCATGTAAACAAGTGGAAGGCACAGCTTGTTCCAATGGTGGGATCAGTAGCGTTTTTAATGCATTTATATATAAAGCACCTGCTTCTGTCTTTGTATAAACCTCCTGTGTTTAACAGTTTTACTGTGAGTTTCTGTTGGATTTTGTAGATATCGCGATGAAGTTTTGTGATTGAGTGTGCTCCGATTGAGATGGGGTGTCTGTCTCTTAACTCTTAGCACCATAAAATACACAGTCCACTTTACAGTATATTCTGTGAAGGGCTTTGAGACATCTCAACAATGTGATACGGTGCAGTATCAAGTGCAGATATTATCATTTAATAGCTGTGTCCAAGAGGAGTATTGAGTGACTTTCTAAAATATTTATCTATAATTTCTCCCTTTTTCTCTTATCTCCCCCTCCACCAGTTTTCTCGCTCCTCCTCTGAGTGGGCTAAGTCCTACTCGGGTATGGTTTGACAGGTGTGGTCTGGTAACTCATTTCAGTGGTTGATCTTTGTGTGGAAGCACCAACTGGCTGGTGCTAGGGTGTGTTGCTTGTGGCGTCTGAGTACGAAAGGATCGCTTGTTGAGACCTGCTTTGAAAGTTGCTGAATCTCCATTCCTGCCCCCTCTTTTACCGGTTTCACTGGATGAAGTCACAGTTTGAGTATCAGGCATGTGGTGATTCAACGAGGCACTGATTCAAATCAATCAGTCAGGAGGGAGTTGTCATTACAGAATTTCAACCTCACTGAACGATCCATTCCCTGATGTTTGTGATTTACTCCGGGGAAATATTGTAATTC